GTATTGTCTGTATTTCCACTGACAGACTGTTGTTTCTGTAAATTAAAATTAATCGATATTTTATTTTTTTTAGTAAAATGCTGTAAGGATCATGCAGATTTCCGTACTAAAAATAACTTTAAGTATTACAACTAACCACCTGACAGTCATGTGACTTAATAACCTGGATGTAAACTTCACGTGCAAAAAGTCCCCCTGCCATATTTCTAGAATATTTGTTTATTTTTTATAGATTCTTTTTGAAGGTAAAAATAGTATTAGTAAAAGGGTACCAAAATGTGATATCAAATAATAAAATGTAAATACTTAATTACATTAACTTTACTTGGAACATCTTAACCACCACGTGGTATTATTTGATATTGTTACTTACTATAGCAGCCGAATATGATGCACGCTGACATTCACAGCATACGGGAAGTGAATGTAGAATTAGGTCGAAAACATAAGACGGTCGAAAACACAATACGAGACGATAGTCTTTTTCCTAGTCCAAATAATTATGACGTCTTGCAAGGCTATTTTAATTTTTTTCTGTGACGCCGGCGTCACAGAAAAAAAATAAAATAGCCTTGTAAGATGTCATAATTATTTGGACTATCTTTTTCCCACAGAATACCCATGAAAATTGGCACATATATAAAACATACTTTTACTATTAAAATGTTTCTTATGATATCATGCTGTATATGTGTATGGTATCATTATGAGTTCTGAATGTTATGGTATCCATATAATTAACTTATGACTTATTGTTACATTGGATCTATATTTCATTATATGTTGTTGAATATATTATTGTCTGTATTTGGATCACACCTCTGTTGTGCTCTTTCCAATAAATATTGAATTGAATTGATTGGAATTGATATCCTAGGGTACCAGGTCTGTTCACTCTGCCGACCTTGCAAGACCTTCATATGTAATCAAGGTTATTAAATCCATCCTCGTTGTTCACCCTGATTACTTGTTCGCCCTGAGTTTGTTAGCCCAAAGTGTCCGTTCGCCCTAGGTTCGTTCTGAGAAACTCCCTACTTTTAGTTAAAAATATAAACAATGATTAATATCAGAGACTTATATTTCTATTGTAGGGTATTAAAGTTTCTCTAATTTTTGTGCTATTTTCACATTTCTTGATGGTGTGAGAAAATTTTTCTCCTCACTAGTAGAATTTCTGTTCTCAGCAAATGATAGGTCGGAATTTAATTATGATCTAAAATTTTCTTGGTTTCTTCTGAATTTTCTATTGTGACGTCATGAAAAAGGGTGACTATGCCTGATGATGTCACATATAAAGAACACACCTTTCTGGAAATCTTTGAAAAGGAAGGATAAAAATCATTAGAGAAACAGATTCCACCACTATAACTCGTGTATTACGCTATTTCTCCACTCTCAACAGTTAAATTTTATTTATTTAAAAAGCTCGACAAACCTTGTGCTTTAAATATTAAAATTTAACTGTCTGGAGTGGAGAAATATCCCAACACGCTTGTTGCAGTCGTGGAATCTATATTTGATAAACATATTCATATATTTATATGGTATAAATTCTCGAAAATTCATGAAAACACATGTAAATATTTAAAAGTTGATGGCTTGTTTTGGAGCATTAATTGTTCATAATAATAATTCTCAATGATTGCTGTAATAATTATCTTTGATGGATTAATAATAAAAGCAACGTTTTGTTCTGATAAACTAGTCAACTTGAAATGAGTAAAAACAATGGTGTAGGAATTGTAAAACATGAAAAGGATTTATAAGTTCATTTAAAGTAAAAACAATAAAATCATTAAAATGAATGATGTACAAATTGTAAAACATGAAAAGTATATAATAATGAAAAGTCCGGCTTACTTTTTGGTATGTGATATAGATGTAAGACAAGGGAGAATCTCTAATCTATCTCGTTTTCTTTATTTTTTAACTTGCAACACTTTCTAGAAACTACAAAATCTAAAGGGTTAGAACTATATTAAAGAGATACAGAAAATTAATTAATGGTTTATTTTACTGTATGCTGATGATACAATATTCATGTCAGAAACTTGTAGGATTTACAGATGATGCTAAACTTTTTTTTTTTTAAATAAACACTGGAAACTGATAATAAATGTGAAGAAAACAAAAGATATGATGTTTTCAAAGGTCGATTGTCAAAGAATTTGAAATTTGATATTGATAATCATAAAATTGTGACAGTAAATGAATATAAAGATGCTGGACTTATATTTTCGAAAAAAAGGGCTCATTTGTTGAAGGCCGTACGGTAAAGGAAAGATATTGTGGTCTTAGGAAAAGAATATAAAACACATATGTTTTCTTAGGTGAACACATAATTTTAGAAAAATATCCTTACCTTTAAATTACTAATTAAATTAAATTGGGGAGAATTGACAACCATTTATATGTACAATGACTATGAGACACTTCAAATTGGGATGCTTAGATGCTGCATAGAATGGGACATGCCATTATAATTTGTGAGGTTATCCTAATGACCAATTTTACTCACAAAGCACTTTTCTATTTAGATCACATTTCCCAATTATGTATAACAAATGTTAATCCAGTGTAATGAATATTGTATTAAAAAAAATAATAAAATAAGTCATTGAAGTCTTCCAAGAATTTTTTTAATGCTTTTAAATAGAATCAGAACATCTGAACTGTTCAATATGCCTATTCATACAATTTGTATGTTTATATGTAAAATGTATTAGAAATCACATTGAAGTTCGCAGAAAATTTGTGTAAGGCCTCACTTTGACTTAAGATGAAGAACAGCAATAAAAGTGATGTTCCTTTGTGAGAACAAACGAATAACTAAATCTATAGCAATGTAGGCTGACCAGGAAGAAGGATTGGAAATTTGAACCTCCACTGAAAACAATTATGTGATCAATAGAGGCTGAAAATTTGCCTTGAAGAAGGCAATAGTGCTATGGACTCCTCATAGAAATGCTGTAATAAAGTGCTGATACCATGGTCCTAATTGTCCTAATTCTACCATGAAGGTGTCGCACAATCGGTGAGATACATTATACATCTTGCACAGCGAACTACTTCTTTAATATATAACAGAAATAATTAAATACCCTAAAACTCAGGTTTACAAATTAAAACAAAAAGCATATCTCAACTTGTCTTCATTTTGCATTTTATTACTTTGATCACAATAACTGATATTCGCATGATAGTGCAAGAAGTTCTATGACGACACGCATAGCAACTGTAATCATTCTATCCCAAATTTTAATAATAGTTAAAGCTAGTATAAAATCCCCCCTTTGGTAACAATCGGAACATTTTGCAGTATACGTTGGAGTGATCCATATCAAGACGATTTGCATTAATTTTATAATTTCCTGATTTATTCATATTATTCTGTAGCAAGAGAAATTTATCTACATGCTCAAGCCGGTTCCAATATAAAAAAATATTTTTTATAAAATCAGTGGGAAATAACCAAGTTCTGTCAATACAGGAAAGTTGGTTTTTTTATAAATTCAGGAAAAAGTCACAGGAAACAAAGTCACGGAAAAAAGTCACATTAGTTTTTGTATGAAAATTGTCATATGGTCTGCACATGACCAGGTTGTCTCATTGGCAATCATACCACATCTTCTTTTTTATATTTCCTATAAACATTTAAAAATCTACCTTTTACAATAACTAATCTGATACAAGTGTATTACAACTTTTTACCATGCATTCAAAAAACATTTTAATGGTTTATTTCATACATGTACATAATGATTTATCATGTGCATTCCAACATAGTTTTACTTAATTCTTATATCAAATTTTACTCAATCATATATTGTGACTTTTTTCTGTGAATTTTTTCTAGGGATTTGTGACTTTTCCGTTTACTATTTTTATGTAACCTAAAACATATTTACAAAACTTTACATGCAGTTTTTCGCTTATTAGATGTGAATATAAATTGTATGGTGATAGTAATCTTGCTATATTTGAATTAACAGTGACCCAGATTTCTCTACCAAAAAAGGTCAGATACCAGCCATTACTATCTCTATCTTAAGTTAAGCTTGGAGGCCTTTTCAGTTGAGGATAACAGAATAATATCACCGGCATATATTAAGCAATTCATTTTTATAGAAGTTTTAAATAAATTAAACATAAAAATTCGAGGAATCACACTTAAATCTCAAAATAAACAACAACAAAAAATTGAATACATTAATGTCATAAAACAAGCAGATAGTTACGAATTCTGGGGGAAAAAATCTTTTATTCATTTTTTTATTAGGTTTAACCAAAGTATCATAACCGTTAAATACTGAATGTTTTATTTTTTCATAAATTGATGAATTAAGACAATTAATACTTCTATCTATTTGGCAAAACAAAAACTATATAGAAAAAAAGGAAATAATAATTCAGAAAACACAATCATCAATCATAGGCCGAAGTTATGGTCCGAATTTGGTATAGGCCGAGTTACCAGTAGCGTCATAATCGACCCAAAATACAAATACAAAATGGAGTTGTCTCCCTTTCGGGTTCGGGCGACCTATTTTGGAATTTCCACGATAAAAAGTTTTCGGCAAAGTTGTAAGAACAATTTAAGTAAAATATGAAAGATTATTACATTCAGGACATAAAATAAGAAAGCGAATTAAAACACTTAGGCAGATTAAAGTTTGGTTTAAGAAAAACTTTCAGGTTCGGGTTACCACTTTTACCGAGGTGGAAATTAATAAACCTTAAATTGATGTTTGGACAAAAACCTTTTCATACAAGAGATAAAATTTAATTATCGTCAAACGCATACACGTTTGTAGAAAAAAACGAAATACAAAGAGCATAATATATGTAAAATAGATTTCCGGTTCGGCAAATTTCCAGCAAATTCCTGTTCGGGTTCGGGTTCGGGTTACCACTTTTATCGAGTGTCATCAGTGTGTGCTCCAAAGTTGGAGGGAATTACGTAAACAAGAAGATTTATCCCTGTTTTTACTTTAGGAAATTTACATATTCTATTTTAGTCTCAACAAATCCCGCCGACCTCAAAGGCTAGGCCTTCACTTGAGCTTGAAGAAAGTCAACCGAATTTGGGTGTGTCCATCAGCGTACAATTTAGCAGTTAAGGCGATACTCACAATGTGATTCAATTACTGTATGATAATTAGTCAACAAAAGGTAAATGATTACCCCCATGCAATAGTCAATTATCTATTGTGAATTGTCTGAAGAGAAATTTTCAGATTTGGTTCCCTGATCTTTGACAAAGAGACAATAATAATGCGATGCATGTCAATTTTACTTCATCTCCACTTAAGAACAAAAAGTTTTTTTTTATAACTAGTGTATAAGTTCCTGGTATATATATAACAAATAATGGTGGACCTAATTTGTAGATAACACTCTCTATCAGGTTGGGAACAACCCCCTTCTTCTGATGATATCATTACTTTGAGCTGTTGAGGGGTTATCCTTCATACATGTCATATGAGGGTGGGGTGTATTTTTCCCAACCTGTCTATTGGTTTATATTAAAAAAAAGCACTGCAGTACTGTTTACCCGTAGTATCCTTGTGTATTGTATTTTCGACCTATTAACATATTTCTCTGAATTTCCCTTTTATATGTTTGAACATAGACATGCCTAATATTTTGAGAGTCACTAGTATACTTGTGCATAAAATAATTGTATCTGAAATATATTTCGATTTTAAATATTTTTTTTTATTACAGTTCATTAGATCGATGGCACGTTGTTGACAAAAAATAGCGTCTTGTGATTTCGACCTATTTAAGAAACTGGTCCAAAGTCGGAAGGGACATGTCATACAAATCTGGAATTGGTTATAATTTGATGCCAATGTCTATATCAAATTATTTAAATTGTTAGGAGGCAGTCAAACTTATGACTTAATGAATTAAATGGTTACATATACAACTTTAAGATAAAAAATATTATTTTGATATCTTTATTTGACTAGTTGTACACATTTCACATGAGGCACTTTGGAAGCAAGTTTGATTTTGTATACAGTAATTTTTTTGTTCAATACTTTAGTGAAGGTATTGTGGAGTGAGTATTGTCTGTATTTCCACTGACAGACTGTTGTTTCTGTAAATTAAAATTAATCGATATTTTATTTTTTTTAGTAAAATGCTGTAAGGATCATGCAGATTTCCGTACTAAAAATAACTTTAAGTATTACAACTAACCACCTGACAGTCATGTGACTTAATAACCTGGATGTAAACTTCACGTGCAAAAAGTCCCCCTGCCATATTTCTAGAATATTTGTTTATTTTTTATAGATTCTTTTTGAAGGTAAAAATAGTATTAGTAAAAGGGTACCAAAATGTGATATCAAATAATAAAATGTAAATACTTAATTACATTAACTTTACTTGGAACATCTTAACCACCACGTGGTATTATTTGATATTGTTACTTACTATAGCAGCCGAATATGATGCACGCTGACATTCACAGCATACGGGAAGTGAATGTAGAATTAGGTCGAAAACATAAGACAGTCGAAAACACAATACGAGACGATAGTCTTTTTCCTAGTCCAAATAATTATGACGTCTTGCAAGGCTATTTTAATTTTTTTCTGTGACGCCGGCGTCACAGAAAAAAAATAAAATAGCCTTGTAAGATGTCATAATTATTTGGACTATCTTTTTCCCACAGAATACCCATGAAAATTGGCACATATATAAAACATACTTTTACTATTAAAATGTTTCTTATGATATCATGCTGTATATGTGTATGGTATCATTATGAGTTCTGAATGTTATGGTATCCATATAATTAACTTATGACTTATTGTTACATTGGATCTATATTTCATTATATGTTGTTGAATATATTATTGTCTGTATTTGGATCACACCTCTGTTGTGCTCTTTCCAATAAATATTGAATTGAATTGATTGGAATTGATATCCTAGGGTACCAGGTCTGTTCACTCTGCCGACCTTGCAAGACCTTCATGGGTAATCAAGGTTATTAAATCCATCCTCGTTGTTCACCCTGATTACTTGTTCGCCCTGAGTTTGTTAGCCCAAAGTGTCCGTTCGCCCTAGGTTCGTTCTGAGAAACTCCCTACTTTTAGTTAAAAATATAAACAATGATTAATATCAGAGACTTATATTTCTATTGTAGGGTATTAAAGTTTCTCTAATTTTTGTGCTATTTTCACATTTCTTGATGGTGTGAGAAAATTTTTCTCCTCACTAGTAGAATTTCTGTTCTCAGCAAATGATAGGTCGGAATTTAATTATGATCTAAAATTTTCTTGGTTTCTTCTGAATTTTCTATTGTGACGTCATGAAAAAGGGTGACTATGCCTGATGATGTCACATATAAAGAACACACCTTTCTGGAAATCTTTGAAAAGGAAGGATAAAAATCATTAGAGAAACAGATTCCACCACTATAACTCGTGTATTACGCTATTTCTCTACTCTCAACAGTTAAATTTTATTTATTTAAAAAGCTCGACAAACCTTGTGCTTTAAATATTAAAATTTAACTGTCTGGAGTGGAGAAATATCCCAACACGCTTGTTGCAGTCGTGGAATCTATATTTGATAAACATATTCATATATTTATATGGTATAAATTCTCGAAAATTCATGAAAACACATGTAAATATTTAAAAGTTGATGGCTTGTTTTGGAGCATTAATTGTTCATAATAATAATTCTCAATGATTGCTGTAATAATTATCTTTGATGGATTAATAATAAAAGCAACGTTTTGTTCTGATAAACTAGTCAACTTGAAATGAGTAAAAACAATGGTGTAGGAATTGTAAAACATGAAAAGGATTTATAAGTTCATTTAAAGTAAAAACAATAAAATCATTAAAATGAATGATGTACAAATTGTAAAACATGAAAAGGATTTATAAGTTAATTTATTATTATACTGCATAAATTGACTGACTAGAATTATTAATATGTTAACAAATACATGAAATATCAATAAAGATAAATACATTGAATTACAGTATTCGACTTTGCAAATCAAAGGAAAATAATTATTCGGTTGCAGCAATATAAATAATTGGCTAATTTTCAACAAACTTTAACATACTCTGTTCAAATAATAAACATTAGACAACAATAGCAAAACTAAAAATCGAGTGAATGGACTCTGGGTGAACAGGTATGAGGGCAAACAGGTACTAGGGCGAACGTGAATCAGGGCAAATGGACCAGGAATCATATCCTAGCCACAGGGACTCGGTTAGCAGATTAAAATTTTGTTTATCGATGTTTTTCCAATGTTTTTTTTAGTATTTCCTGTCTATTTGTATTACATTATTAACGATTTTAACATTGGCATCAAATTTCCCGGTGAAAGTAACATATTTGGCAAACATGTTGTTTTCAATAACATAGATGTAAAGGGAGATAACTCTTTCATTACGAATTTTTCGGGTTGATATATTTAATATGAATGAAAGAATAATCTCCCATTTCATCTTTGTTATTGAAAAACGACACGTTTGCCAGTTACATTGTTTCGGACGGGGAATTTGAATGTTTTGTTCTGAATGAAACGATAGCCGAGTAAGGGTGTCTTTGATCGGAAAATCAATACATACTTCTAGAAAAATCATTTAGGAAGGACATGAGTGCCTCTGTAAGGTATATAGTTGCATAGAAATATTTTTAATTATTTTTAGTCCCCTTGAATTGATATTTGTTTAATAGTTTACATCATGTCAAGTTATAGATCAAGTTAGCCTTTTGTTCCAGTGCAATGAATTTTTAACAGGTAGGTGACTATGTATTACCAGGCAATACTCACAGAATGCTTGTTTATTAGTCCCCTACTGACGAAGTCGAAGGGGACTTAAGGTTTTCACTCCGTCTGTCTGTCTGTCTGTCCATCCATCAGTCCGGCAAATCAGTTTTCCACACTTTTTTTCTTCGTGCTTGAAAATTGGTATATTGTTTTATCATGACAAGTTACAGATCAAGTTTGAATTTTGTTCCGGTCTGACAATTTTGTGCAGAGTTATGATACTTGAACTTAGAAAATTCACTCAAATAATCAGTTTTCCGCACTTTTTTTTGTCATGCTTGAAGATATTGATTTGATGATTGGTATATAGTTTTATCATGACAAGTTACAGATCAAGTTCAAATTTTGTTCCGGTCTAATGATTTTGTGCAGAGTTATGGTCCTTGGACTTATAAAATTCACTTAAATAATCAATTTTCCACATTTTTTATACGCCCGTTTACGGGACATATTATGGCCCGAGAACACAGTTATTTCGTAGTGCATTTCTTTTAGACAATAAATTCAAATTAAAAAAATCGCACCTGCTCTATCTTAAAAAGATTTTTACAGTGTAGTGTACTACTATTGATACAAATAATATCAAAATTATAGAAACTTCTACCAGCTCTAACTCAAAATATTGACAATTCTGTGTTAAGGGGGGCTAAAATTCAGTTTGACAGCTTCAGACATTCTAATTTTTGACCTTTTTTAACTGGACCAAATCACTACTTAACATAAAGATTCAGCACCCAAATTTTTTTTTAACATGTAATTTCATCCCCTTACTTAATATTTCATGCATAAAATATCAAGAAATAAATTGGGAAAGTGTATCAAAAAAAAATGCAAGTTATACACTGTTCACACTAGGGACTATATTCGTAGACAACGAAAACCAAAGGACGATAACTGTGTCCTTGGACCTTATGGTATACCTTATGTCGGTCCGTCCGTCAACATATCGGACATTAATTCAAAAACGCTTTAAGCAATATGCATGAAACTTTGGTGAATTGTTTATATCTATTGACGTGAGCTCCCTTTCGTTTTTTATAAATTTCAGATATACCATTTCCGAGTTTTGGGGTTTTATTCATTAAAAAAGGGGGGATTTTCCAGTTTTTGAACAATAACTCAAAAACAATTTCACCAATAACTTTTGCATGAAACTTTTGTGAATTGTTCATATCTATGGACGTGAGCTCCCTTTCGTTCTTTATTAATTTCTGATTTACTGTTTCCGAGTTTTGGGGTATGATTCATTAAAAAAGGGGGGATTTTCCAGTTTTCGGACAATAACTTAAAAAAATTTCACCAATTTGCATGAAACTTTTGTGAATTGTTCATATCTATTGACGTGAGATCCCTTTCG